GGCACAAATTAAGATATATTTTATTTCCTAGCATGGGATCTTGTATGCTCTGAAAATATTTTAGTTGAAATAATTAAATCTAAGGTTTTTTCTTCATAAATAATGTTGGGGCCATCCGTGCATTGACAGAGAAGTTTCAGGGAACCAAAACACACTGCTTAGACTTTAGGCTTTGTTAGGTGTAGGCCATGTGAATTTATTAATCTTGGTAGTTTGTAATGGCTTATATTGCATCAAATGACTGTTTTTTTTTTAATTTATTTATTTATGATAGTCACAGAGAGAGAGAGAGAGAGAGGCAGAGACACAGGCAGAGGGAGAAGCAGGCTCCATGTACCGGGAGCCCGATGTGGGACTCGATCTCGGGTCTCCAGGATTGTGCCCTGGGCCAAAGGCAGGTGCCAAACCGCTGCGCCACCCAGGGATCCCCAAATGACTGGTTTTTAACATTAAAAGGATGTAGCATTAAACCTTAGGCATTCATGAATACAGACTACAGAAGATTTAGTCCCTGGAATGACACAGACTATAAGGAAAGGCAACCTTTTTAAATTTTCTTAAATAAGCTTTGTAAGCATTAGGTGATAAAAGAACATTGGCAGAGAGCCTGAGTTAGTTAAGCATCTAACTCTTGATTTCAGCTCAGGTTGTGATCTCATGGTTTGTGAGACTGAGCCCAGAAAGCCGTCCTCTTCTCCCACTCTCTTCCCCCACATGCGCACACATGCACATGCTCTCTCTCTAACTCTCTCTGTCTCTCTCTCTCTCAGTAAATAAATAAACCTAAAAAAGAAGAAGAAGAAGATTGGCTATTTTCTTTAATGGATTTCTTAGCCAGATCTCTAATACTAGGACAGAAATTTGAAGAGTGGCTGAATTCAAAATGTGCTACAAATTTTAGTGGAATTATAGCTTAAAACTCCTAGCTCCAGACACTAATATTCCTACTATATCACCGACCCCAAATTGCGTTCTTCTGTATGTGTATGTGCACTATTTTGAAATGAACTTATAGTGACAGAGCAATGGAGGAGACAAAACCAAACTTAAATTCATGTGGTGTGCCCATTAGACCTCCATTGCTTCAACAAAACAGTCTCAGGTAGACTCTGCATTTGATCATTAAAGAAACTCTGGTTATTAGAGCTCAGAGGTTCAAACTATGGCTGCAATCATAAAAAAGAATGTTGATTGTATTAAATATTTAAATCAAAAGGACTGAGGACTCTTTTTATAAAGAGAGTATGCCCTCTTCCTAGGCTACGGTCGAAAAATAACTGACTGATGTTATTAAATGCCCCAAAATTGAGAAAGCAATTTAAAGGCCCTGTCTGTCAGCCTATAGCTCTGAAATTCTGATTTTTCCCCAGGAATCAAGAAGAAATTGGAGTAGCTTAAATAGGTGCCTTATTTCTTACAATCAGAACAAGGGTAATAGAAGAAGGAAAGTAAAATAGAAGATGTCAAACTGAGTAGTAATGAGAAAGATATTTCCTTAAAAGAAATATTGAGATCTTAAAACATAGGCTGGGCAGATATGATGGAGAAATGAAACGCTAAGAGCCGGGAGAAAGAACTACAAAGTTAAAAAGGTGATAACGCTCAAGTCTAACTTCTCTGAAGGAAGGTGATAGAAAAGGGCAACATATTTCAGTTGTTACCAGTTCAGAAAGGAAGACTGGTTCCTAAAAAAAAATCAATCAGATAAAAAGAGGAAATGCCTTAGAGAGCAGTATAATGACATCCTGGAGAGAACTAAGATCAGAAAAAATTTTAAAAGATTCCTCTTAAAGCAACAGCGTTTTGCAAGAAAAACTGGCAAATCATCCCTTAAAAGCTAGGATGGAGCAGTAAAAGTGGTTAAGAAAATCTGGTCAGGGGCACCTGGGTGGTTCAGTGGTTGAGCATCTGCCTTTGGCTCAGAGTATCATAGCGGGGTCCTGGGATCAAGTCCTGCTTGGACCCCACAGGGAGCCTGCTTCTTCTCCCTCTGCCTATGTCTCTGCTTCTCTGTGTCTCTCATGAATAAATCAATCTTTAAAAAAGAAAATTTGATCAAATTTGAAAAGGGAAATCCCAGGAAGATAGGGGCAAATGACTGCAAGAACTATTGTGTGACATTCGGAATAGAAGTATTGCCAAGTGGGTGGCATATTTGGAAAACATATTTGGAAAATTTATGGAACTGCTACTCTAATAAAGGAAAATTAGGCAAAGGAAGAACTTACTAAAAGGAAGTCAGACAAGATGATTATTGGTGAAGACTTGACCTGGAACACATGTTGGTCTAATAGGAATATTATCTTATAGGTGGGACTGCCCTACTCAAAAGGGTCAAGATAGTCAAGATATATTTGAAGCGGTTGTGTGACAAACATGGAAACTCACTGACTTCATCTTTCTCAAGGCAAAACTTTGAGAGTAGAAAGTTAGAAATACAAATATCTGGACCAGAGGGCAAAGGGAAAAAGGCACTGGGGTTCAGGAAACAATGTTGTCCCTCCCTGAGCTAGAGAAGTAAAGAAGCCAAAGTAAGAAGATGAATACAAAGTTACAAACCCAGCTGAAACCATCTGAAAAGAATAAGAATATGGAAACAAGAAAAGGAAAAACAATACCAGAGACTTTAACCTAAGAAAATACTATTCAAGGTGGCTCAGTCAGTTAAGCGTCTGCCTTCATCTCAGGTCATGATCCCAGGGTCCTGGGATGAAATCTTTGCTGCCCAGGGAGTCTGCTTCTCCCTCTGCCCCTCCCCCCACTCACTCCCACGCTTGCACGCTCTCTCTCTCCCCCCAAAAAGTTTTTTTTTTTAAGAACAAAGAAAAACACATAAAATTTAAACCTGAGGAAAGAAAGTGTTTTCAAGATTAGATGGCAAAAACATTAATCATCACTAGACTCCTATTGTTTATAGACATCAAACACAGCCTCAGGTAAGGGATCTGTGGCCAGGGATCCTCCAGCTGAAATAAATGTGGTGATGGGGATAAAGATATTCCCTAGGACAAGGAGTCAACTGGAAGAGTTCCCAGTGACTAAGGCTGGGATAGGTTGAGCAAGAAGTATTAGATTGTATAATTTAAGGGATCCCCAGGTGGCTCAGCAGTTTAGTGCCACCTTCAGCCCAGGGCCTGATCCTGAAGACCCAGGATCGAGTCCCATTTCGGGCTCCCTGTGTGGAGCCTGCTTCCCCCTCTGCCTGTGTCTCTGCCTCTCTCTGTATCTCTCATGAACAAACACATCTTAAAAAAAAAAAAAAAGATTGTACAATCTAATTGTCCTAGTATAGTTACCCATGAGTCTGTATTGATATGAATGACTACATGAATAAACAGGGGGAAAGACACAAATCTCCAATGCAGAAGAATTCCAAATAATTTATCCAGTTATTCTGCCTTCTAGAAGGTGAAATTTAACTACCATTTCTTTAGATGAGGGCTGGGCATAGTGACTTCCTTCCAAAGAAGATGGTATGGAAAATGGGAAGAAAAATAGCTTTACAGTGGAGAAATTTGACAAACACTAACTCAAAGGTAATGAAGGTCAATATCAACAGTGAAAAATTATGTTGACAGTGTGTAAGATTTGATGAAAATGACCTCTGAGTTCTTCCTTCCAAAAACTCATAGCCTCAGTCTAATCACGAGAAACATGAGTCAAACCCAATTGACAGATATTGTACCAATATCAGTTATTGACTGGTAATTCTCAAAACTGTCAAGTTCATCAAAAACAAAGAATGCCTGACAAACTGTCACAGCCAAGAGGAGTCTCAGGAGACATGCCTTGTAAATGTGATGTGTAACCTAGATGGGACTCTAGAACAGAAGAATGATATTCGGAAAAAACTGAAGAAATTTGAATATAGAATGGACTTTAGTTAATAATAGTGAATCAATACTGGCTCATTATTGCAACTAATACAAGATGTTAACAATATTGGTGGAGAGGGACAGCAGCAAAAATGATGAGTAGGGAACTCCAAAGATCCATCTCTTCACAAATCCCCCCCAAAACAGCAAATAAAGTGGCAAAAACTGTCAAAACCAACTTTATTGGAATTATGGAAACAAATCAAACTTTACAGAAAAAAAAAGGATGCTTAATCAAAAGAAAAGTAAATTTTGATAACAGAGTTTTGTGGCTTTTAAATTACCCTAGTCCTATACCCCACTCCCCAGTTTAGTGGCCCCATTAAAGACAGTAGCTCACATTCCTGGTATAGGCTCCTAATGTGGGAGGGAGCAGAATAGATCTTGTTTTAAATGAACTCTGGTTATTTTGACCTGTCTGGTGTTCCCTGAAGGACTAGCTCTAAGGGCTTGTCTTTATTTCACCTAAATTAAAACTCTCCCAGGGCTGAGGTGGCTGTCCAGGGAACATTTGTTGAAAACATTCAAGAGCAAATGTCTTAGCTCTGCTGCTGGGGATAAGATATAATAATTGGGCAAACAGTAGACAAACTGAAATGCCTAGAAAGAAAGGCTAGGGAATGAAATAATTTGGGGAACAAGGGCGTTTAAAGGCTTTCATAGATCCCTAGAAACCTCTAAGACCATACACATGCCCAGAGCAGAAGTGTGTTCAGATAAGACCACTGAAAGGCACAAAGGTCTCACCCCTGGCTGACCTCCAGGCTCCACACAACAAGAAGTGAAGGCAAAGGCAAAGTTGCAAGCTTTCTTGCTAAGCGTTGAAGGCATCTCCTAACATATACACAGAGCCCATATACCAAGACCAGAAGGATTTTTTAAACTTAAAAAAAAATGGATCCCAGTAGTTTGAGGAAATTTCTGGCAAATCATTAGTTGACCACCAAGTAGACAGAACAGGAACTTCAGTAAAGATACACAATAAAGAATACAAACTACTAAACACTAGTTCAGAAAATTCACTAAACAAACAGCTACTGCAAGAAGCAGCAGCAACAAACTTCAAAGAAAAGGGGAAATCTGGTTTCCAGAGTTGTCACATTATAATATTCAAGATGTCCAAACTTCAGCAAAAAATTCTAAGGCATGCAAATAAACAAGAAAGTATGTGCTATACACAGGGGGAGAGAAAAAAAAAAGTAATAGAAATTGTCCCTGAGAAATCCTAGTCATTGGAGTTAGTAGACAGAATTAAAAAAAAAAACTTTTAAATATGCTCAAGTTGCTGAAGGATATCACATACAAAGAACTAAAAGAAACCATAAGGAGGATACCTCACTAAATAAAGAATATCAATAAAGAGATAATACGAAACAGACAACCGGGATTTGGCAGAGTTTGCTTTTTTTTTTTTTTTAAATCTTCAGACATTGTTGCCTTTGCCTTGCTTTGCCTTTGCTTTTGCCAACCTCCTTATTCACGAACTCCTGTAGTGAGAAATGCGGAAACGAATTAACATTTGTTGAAGATCTGTATGCATAAGGCACTCTACTCTACGATAGTACATGATTTAGTCTTCAAAAAACTCATGATAAGCAATGGTATCTCCATTAAAAAAGAGAGAGAGAAAGAAATCTCAAGAAAGCTAAGACATATTTTTGAACCCAGTAGTCAAATCCAGTTCTGGCTTGAATTCAAGTCCATGCAATTTCTACCATCCCACTTTGCTTGAAGATGAGGAACTCACCCTCAAGTCTACCACATTCCTTTCCTAGGAAGGAACAGTACAGTCCTAGCCAACAGTACATGGTGGGGAGTTGGGTGGGGATCTGGGATGCACCTGGATCCTGAGAAGGAATAGAAGGGATGGAAAAAGTATTTAGCTAAGGTCTACCTTTAGGAGATAACACCCAAGAGAGAATCAGATTTCTGATGTCATCAAAATTAATATCTAGCATCTTTTACTGGTAATTATGCTTTTAAAAAATCAACAAAAAATCCTGTCTCTCAGTCTCAAGCTGTTTTATCAGAAACTTTCCCCTCCACCTCCTCATTATCGTAACCTCCTATGTCTCTCACGGACTAGCGCATAGTGGTATTTGAGAGAACAACAATCATACCCTTCAATAATGTCCTTACAGAACATCACCTTAAAGATGTTATTTCTTAAGAAGAAAGACACATAAAATGTTTCTATAATAGATTTCTATTCACGAAAAAGTTCCCCACTGATAATAATTCCTTGGAAAGTTGGAGAATCTAAGAAAACATCTTCGCCACTTTACCAGTTTACTAAGCACCAACTAAGGTGATTTAAATGAAGAACATTTTTGAGAGGAAAACCTTGCTCATCTCTTGGGAACTAGTTGGAGCCTGACCTACATACTTACAGCGTCAAAATTACTCCGGGCGGGGGACAGGACAGGAGCAGCACTAGCACTTGCCACTCGTGGAACATCAGGGCTGCAGCCTTCCTCAAGGAAGCCAGGAGTACTGGACCACCATCTTCCAAAAGACCTACATGCTGGGGAAGCCCACAGATGTTAGTTAGTGTAAGTCATCTCCCTTCTGCGATGCTCTTCTCGCTGCAGATTAACTTGTTACCAGCCCACAGAGGGAGATTTGTCACTCTCTGGGTAGAAGCGCTCAAACCCCAAGGCTATGCTTGTTGTCCAGGGATGCTGCCGGCAGACAAGTGTTGAAGGCCTGTCCCTGCTCTGATCCACGTCTACTCACTCATCAGAACACACAAGTGCAGAGGGAGGCCGAGCAAGAAATTCTGACTAATCTTTTTCATAGATTTTCAATTACAAATGTGAACAGAGCCAAAAAAAAATCATTTGACACAGGAGAAAAATTATAATAGAGAAACTCCAGGGGAGTAATCAGAGCAACTTCTCCCTTTGAAAAAAAAAGCTAATGCAAACATGATGATCACAGTGACAATAGCCAATAAATATATGGCACTTATGTTTCAGGCACTGTCTCAAATTCTTCACATACATCTGTTAATTTAATCCTTCTAACAATGATCATCATCTTGATTCCCCTGATGTGAAAACTAAAAAGCAAAAAAAAAAAAAAAAAAGTTGAGTTATTTGCCCAAGGTCCCACAGCAAGTAGGTAGCAGAGGCTATAAACCTAAGTAACCAAGTGCCAGAATTTATCCTCTTAATCACTGGGCTATATTCCCTTTCAGTTATGCTTACAGCTATTTTTTTCATCCTTATTATGTGTCAGGGACAGTAGTAAACATGTTACATATTTTATTTAATCCTTATAATAAATATGGTAGAAATTATCCTCATTTTCTAAAAATCTAATTCATGGGGAGAGGTAGCAGAATGGGCAAAATAGGGAAAGGGAATTAAAAGGTACAAACTTCTAGTTATAAAATAAACAATATATAGCATAGGAAATGTAGTAATAATATTGTAACAACTTGGTATGGTGACAGATCACAGTGATCACCGCTTAATGTATATAAATGTTGAATCACTATGTCATCGCACACCTGAACTTACTTTAATATTGTATTTCTACTACACTTCAATAGAAATAATGTTTAAAAATTAAAATAAAGGGTGTCAGACTGGGTTGGTGCACACACACAAACACACACACACAGATATAACTGATATTCTCAGCAAGATCTAGAGGATATTGTCTTAGCTCAGGCTGGTAGAATAAAATAGCTCAAACTGAATGACTTAAAAAACAGACATTTGTTTCTCACAATTCTAGAGGCTGGGAAGTCCATGGTCAAGGTGCCAATAGATTCAATTCCTGGTGAGAGCTCTCTTCCTGGCTTGAGGAATACTACCTTCTCATTACATCCTTATGTGGTGGAGAGAAAAGCTCTTGTGACCCCCTCCTCCTCTTATAAGAGCACAAATCCCATCATGGTGGCTCTGACCTCATGACCTCATCTAATCTTCATTACCTACCATAGGCCTACCTCCTAATACGATCACAGTGGGGGCTAGAGCCTCAACATGGGAATTTTGGGAGGGATGCAAACATTCACTCCATAACAGATCAATAAATAGAGATATGCTACTTTAAAACAAGATCAGGGATCCCTGGGTGGCACAGTGGTTTGGTGCCTGCCTTTGGCCCAGGGCGCGATCCTGGAGACCCGGGATCGAATCCCATGTCGGGCTCCCGGTGCATGGAGCCTGCTTCTCCCTCTGCCTGTGTCTCTGCCTCTCTCTCTCTCTCTGTGACTATCATAAATAAATAAAAATTTAAAAAAATAAATAAAGTTAGACCTTTAAAAAAAAAAATAAATAAAACAAGATCAACGTATAAAGAAAGTGTTTTGGGAAATAATATTTTTCAAAAGTTATCCTATGCCTGATTGCTACATTTCCACAATTACAAAACTTACACACAAAACACACACACTCAACACAAAGAATGGACACTGCCAAAAAATCAAATTATTGATTTGGACAGGTCAGTTGTCTTTGTTACTGAGAACTGGAAGTGAACTTAAAGATTATTTGGTCCAGAAGCCTCCTTTTAAAAAGGAGTAAATTAGCAATGAGAGGGAAAGGGCCTACCAAAGACTTCAAAATATTATTCTGAACACATTTCTTAACCTCTTTAACTTTTAGTGTCTTTATCTACAAAATCTCCAGGGATTGCTACCAAGGTTAAACTAGTTAATGCACATGAAACATTTAGCACAACACTTGGAGTGTTGTTAGTACACAACATATGTCTTTATTGCTACTATTATCATCACCATTATTATCATCATCATCATTGGTGGTAAACATGATCTCCTGACGTCCAATCCACTATTCTTTTACATTATCACTGACCAATTTTAAGTATATTTTTCTGTAATACTCCAAAATACCTAGGTTTATATCGTCAGTCAAACATTCTTTTAAATGTACTCTTTTACTCGGTCAAATCAGGAAGCTCTCGCATGGGAAAATCACTTTAAAAAAACACATTTTATAGTTATATAGATACATATATTTAAGGATAAAATTAAACAATGTGTGTGAAAACATTTTATAAACTGCTAAGTGCCATCCAAATAAGATATGCATTGTCTTATTGGATTGGACCACGATAGAATGAGGAGGTCTGGGAAGAGACACATAAGAGAAGATGACATAATAATTAACATCATGTCCTTTCTGTGGAATAACGGATGGTGTAGGAGTCAGCATAATGGAGGAAGGTTGAAACCAAGAAACGCAGAAGTGAGGCCAGCATTCTAGAGCTATACCCATGGGTTGGGGTAGGACCCAACCCATAAGGTTACATCAGTTTAAATTAATTAAAATAGAACAAAACTACAAATTCAGTTCCCCTGTGACACTAGCCTCATCACCAGTGACGAATAAGCCCATTCATCTGGTGGCTTCCCTACTGAGCAAGGGGTACAGAACAATTCTCTCACAGCAATCCTATGGGACAGCACAGCTCTAGAGAAATGAGGGAAAGGAGATTTGGATTATTTTTCAAAATACAAAAAAGAATAAAAGTGATTATTTGATACCATGGTGTATCATGATTTATAACTTTATAGTTTTTACATAATTAACATATATCACTTCAAAAAACTGTTTTTGCGTCACAATCTTTTAATAAGAAAATACAACTGTCACTTCATTCACTGTCTTTTAATGAGAAAATAATGCTGTCATCTTGTTTTTAGTTCTCAGCACATCTGTTACTTACTGTCTCTCCTGTAACAATCCATTTCTAGTTCAGAGACTCAATCTGCTTTGCCCATCTAGCCAAAAACGTTGTTGAATTAAGTTAGGCTTTCAATTGATTGTCTCTTGCTTTTTTACTCATTATTGCTGTGTGCTAGCTCCCTCATTTCTCAATGGATCATTTAATATGTTATCTCTGATCATGTATGTTTTAATACAGAATTTGGAATCAGGTCAAATACCTTGACAAAAAGGGAAACATATAAATCCCGAGTAAACTGACTATATAAAAAATATGTTGTAGCATTTAATTTACTTTTAACATTCCCTATGCTGGAGGCTGATTTCTATTCCTACAATGCTCCACACTTGAATGAATATAAAAGAAAATCAGAATATTTCTTTTCATTCTTTGACATTTTATTTTCTGACTCTGACTCCCTTCAGACCAGAAACCCAGAGAAGCAAGTCTCACTGAGGACCACCACCACTCCAAGGTGACCTCATTGGGAAGAACCAGAGAAGGACATACACTGAGCTCCTTTCTCTCTCTTCGATTCCGTGGCACACTTCTCCTCACAGCCTTTGCATTTCTAAATAGTCCTCAGATTATGCTATTGAACTAGTTTGAGGACCATACTTAGAAAGCCCTGCATTCAGGTAAACTGAAGAGCCTTTTAAAATCCCAGTGCTCAAGCAATGCCACACCAATTTTATCAGAATCTCTGAAAATATTTTGTTAATGTTCTGAAGGACTCCAGTGTGCAGATAAGGTTGAAAACCACTAGTCTAGACTAAGAACAAAAGTAATTATTCAGGTATTTCAAATAGATCTAAAAAATTCAAGCACAAGTCTATCCTTTGTTTTGTTTTAAATATCCATAATTCATTAACCTCAGAATAAAAAACATAATACATACATATGAGTATGTGTGTGCACATGTATGTGTGCTTATATATGTGGTGCATGTGTATATTTGTGTGTGCATAAATTAGTTTTAATAGACCTCCTGAAGAGATTAGTTAACATTTTAAAAGCTCTAATGAGGAATATACATTCCAAAGGTGACTATTTTATGGGCTTCAAATATCCCTGCCTGTACCTAGAGTATGTCAATTAGCATAAGGGATATTAGAAATAGTGTTCATTGGTTAAAAGAGTGGTGTTCAGTATATGTGAGCTGGCCACAAACATTGTACAAGCAACTCCATGCAAGCTTCTCTCACATCCAGCACCCCAGAGTCTAGAATAGCACTCTCTGCTTAGCACTCCACTCCATCTAGTGTCCCCCAATCTCAGGAAGCTTATATCACCCGATCTGATTACAGGATTGGCTAACTTTACTGTTAGAACATAGTGTCACAGATGGGTCAGGTAAACCTTCTATGTACCACTGATGCAGATTAGTGGTGACACTATGATTTTCCTAGAGTCTATATTTTTTTGACATTTTTGTTCAATAAACCTCACATGTTTTGAGTGTACAATTTCAGCAGTTTTGACATATATGTATATATGTATATGTATACATATATGTATATGTGTATATATATGTGTATGTATATGTATATATATATATATATATATATATACTTTTATTAAAGCATCGCCACAATCAAGAAAAACATATCCATCACTACAAAAAATTTCCTTGGGACTTTTAATCCAGCCTTACTTCCATCCCAAACCCCCTTCACCGATTTGTTTGCTGTCGTTCTAGTTTGCACTTTCTGTCATTGTAAATAAATAGAACCACACAATATGTACTTATTTTGTCTATATTCTTTTATTCATCATAATGACTTTGAGATTCACTGAGACTTATGCATATTTCAATAGTTTAGTCCTTTTTGTGGTGTTAAATTGTATCCCGTCGTATGGATCTAACACAATCTGTCTCTTCATTCACCTGTTAATGGACGTTTGGGTAGTTTCCAATATGTAGCTATTATAAATAAAACTCCTATCAACAGTCATATAAAGTATTGTGTGGACATGTTTTCATTTCTCTTGGGTAAATATCTAGGAGTCATGTGTGGGTCTATGTTTATATACTCAGGGAGTAACTGAGTCATGTGTAAGTATATGTTCCATTTTACAAGACACTACCAAACTGTTTCCAAAATGACTGTACCATTTTACATTCCCATCAGCAATATATAAAAAATCCAGTTTCTACATCCTTCCCAACATCTGTATGGCCCTTTTTATTCTATTTTAGCCATTCTATTGGTGACTCATGGTATTTTTAATTTCCATTTCCCTAATGACTAGGATGAATGTTAAGCATCTTTTTATACATTTATTGGGCACTTACATATTTTCCTTTGGGAAGTGAATGTTCAAATATTTTGCTTATTTTTATTGAGTTGTCTTATTGACTTGTGAGTATTCTTTATATAGTGTATATACAAATCTTTTGATAGATATGTTAAAAATACTTTCCCCCATTCTGAAGATTGCTTTTTCATTTTCATATTTAAAAAAACAAAAGTTTTTTTAAATGAAGTACCACCTTCCATCTCTTTTATGTATGTCATGCTTTAATGTTCCAACAAACCTTTGCCTACCCCAAAGTTACAAAGATATTCTATATGCTTTCTTCTAAAATTTTTATAGTTTTTGTTTTAATTTCATATTTTGACTCGGGTCTATAATCCATTTTGAGCTAATTTTTGTATATTGTGTGATGTAATCAAAGCATTTTTTTCCCAGATTGCCCTGGATCAGTAACCTAGATTCTGGCATTTATTGTAGATCTTAGGCAACTCAATGTTTCTGGGGCTATCTCATTAACAATAAAATAGATGATTGCTGAAAGGAGTTAGGTTAATATTCAGCATGTTAGGTACTGCTAACGCTGCAGATATGTATCACATTAGAAAAGTAACTGCCTTGGGAGAAAAACAGGAAAGATGACTGAAAGTGTGAATGGATGTTTCTGTATGTACATGGAAAGTACGAAGAGGACACTGGTTGCTGAAAATGTGTAGGTTTGTAAAGCATTTAACATCAACTCTCCCCTCACTACCACCAGGTGTTGGGCTGGTGTGTAACTATACAAGACACATAGATTCCAACCTCTAATCAAGTTCAAATTCCACTTTAATCCACCTCTTTGATGTGTGAAATGGAAATTTCTAGGGGCTGGTAAAAATGCTTGCTCTGATTATACAGAGAGCTCAAACGTATGGCCTAAGAATCCAAAATGCATCATAAGAATCCATTGTTGGTACAAATATTGCCAGAGGGTTATTACTTTGAAATAAATGCAATCTAATAAATGTTTATGTAGCACCTAAACTCTGGGGTCTTAACAACTCCTGAAAAATGAAACTCACATATTCCCCCAATAAAATGTTCATTGTCCAAGATCATAGAGGCTTCACTGAGAGTGATTCCATTCTCTCTATACCAGTCCACAGCATGAGCTTCTTACCATGTGGTTCCCAAATATCTCTTGAAATTTGCATAAAGGTTTTAACTGCAACCCTCGGAGGCACTATCTTGGGTGCATTGTCTACACCCCTCAAAATCACTATACATTCCCCACACCCAAAATTAAAATAGCAACTTATTTTTTTTGTGACTACAGGGAGTTTCTCCACACTTCTTCAGAGATGGGGCAACTTTATTCCTCAGCAACCAGCATCAGCGGCCTCCAGTGGTCACCATCCCCCAAATGAAAGTCAGAATAAATCTAAATGGGGAGATAGTGCTCTTTGTTTCCTGAGGTCCTAAACAACCACAAGCAGAAAGAAAAAGATCAATGTAACAACATAACAAAGTTTCCTATTACACAGATCACTATTAGGTAACACATGTTACAGAAGCAAAGCCAAGTTTAGGTCAATGCTCTCCAGCCAAAGACCCCAGGAACACACAGAGTTGGGTTTAGGACTCATTGCAATAAGGAGATACATAAACACGGAACTATATACATAACACAGAATGGAATGTCCGTAAAAGGATGTTGAAAAGCACTTATATTGGATTTAGGCTTGTGTTGGATGATTGTGGGGGGTGGGGGGAAGTTCAAGGAAGTAGGGTTCTTATCTGCATTGGATGATGTCAAGAGTAGGGGCAATTCTATGATTGAAATAAATCTCAACCATACGATAAAAAGAATGAATCAGGATAAAAGGTATAATTGGTAAAGAATCAACGGTCATTCATGTCAGCCAAGGTGGGAGAATGTTTTGCATTTCTGTGTTTGGACTATACCCATGTGTTCAGTCACGGTCAGAGTGGTCTTGTCTAGTGTTGTTCTATGAAGCCGGTCATGTACAACAGGACACCATGGTCTAACTGCAACTGTCAGACCAGCTCCTAACAATGACAGGGCCCACCTGGTAGTGCAATGTCAATTCCTAGCTGTCATTTTGTCAGTTGTATGGAAACATACACCAAGGAACATGACCTGGTCTAAGGAATGATGGATGGCTTCCCCCAGGAACTGATATTTCAACTAGGAGTCAAAAAGGTAAAAAAGGCTTTTGCTGTCTCAGCCCAGGGGTTCATTGAGCCCTTTTTTCAGTTTTCTTCAACTCACCAATGCTATTTTTTCCTGCAAGTGAATTATGCCTAGGGGCGCCTTGGTGGCTCAGTCAGTTAAGCAGCCAATTCTTGATTTCAGCTCAGGTCATGATCTAAGATCTCAGGATCATTAGATGGAGTCCCGCCTTGGGCTCTGCTCAGTGTGGAGCCTGTTTGAGATTCTCTCCTTCTCCCTCCCTCTCTGCCCCTCCCTTCACTGTGTTCATGCTTGCTCTCACTCTCTCTCAAATAAATAAATAAAATCTTAAAAAAAAAACATTATACCTAGACAGCATGAATCAAAGCTTCTTTCTTACATCATTCCCAACCTTCTCTAAATAAAACATTCCCTGGCTGTGGAATTTCTAAAGTAGTTTCTATTGTGTGAAAATTAATAACAATAATAGTAAAGTAGTAGTAACATGTCAGTTCAATTCTAAAGGAAGGTAAATGACAAATAATGCATACAAATAAATAGAACCAGAGATGTTTAAAGACATTATAAAATTGGACAAGAAATAAAATAATCTAATGTTTCCTTTCAAAAGTGCATTTCTGATGTAGAGTGGGATATTGAAAACTGAAAGATTTGATCTTCAAAGTTAGTGAGCTGAATTTGATTAGTACCTGAAGAAAAAGTGAGAAAAAAATTATATATATATCCCTTTTTCCCTCATTTTAAATCTTGGTGGTATAAACAAGAAATGGTTTATCCTGCTATAGAATTAGTGAACTCTTGCAAAACTCACCTGATCAGAGTCTTTAAGTCTCATGAAATGCCAGATCTTCAGAACACGTTAGGAATTTAGAAAGGTTAAAGCCTCAAGTCAATGGGCTGAAAACCCCACCTGCGATTAGACTGAACGACAGAGGATTTAAATAAGATCTTTCTATTATCTGGCAAAATAAAAATATCCTTCTGTGAACTGGCTGTGGCTCTGCACTAGAAAGAGTGGACCTCACTCTTAAATCTAGAATGGCCAGGAGGTAATATCTGGATGATGATGCACTGGGACATTTCTTACTATAGCTTAGGTATTTGAATTCCCAGTGGCATCTTTGTTTTAAACATTTGGTTCTGAGGGTAAATCATAGAAGTAAAATATGGTAAATGGGTTATTTTGTATTTTCCTGGCCATCAAGAGAGAATGCATTAGTAAACATCTCAGTCATTTTTGTCGTGTTAGTTACAAGTTCAGATTTAATTTCAACAAATACCTATGAGGGTCCCCTAATTAGTCAAAAACAACAGTGCTGTAAAATTTGTCTCACTACCATGCAACAATGTGCTAGAATAAGTATTAATAGGTGTGGATTTTTTAAGAAGAGTTAATAAGGAACCATATTATTCTACATGATAACATTTAGTATATCAAAGAGCTGCTCATGGTGAGGAGCCCAGCATCTGAAATAGCACGGGAGTCTCATCTCTGACCGAAGACAATCATCAAAGCACAGTTAGCACAGACTCAGAAATAGTGTGAATTCAGAGATCCAAGCATGGAATTCTCCATAGTAGATCTCTTTTACAGATATGGAGGTTGAATACCGTTTGACTACAAATCAATTTCACAGGAACTCATAAAAATGTCTGTGTAATTATAGGGTATCAAATCCAATGCCCAGCATCTAAGAACTGGCTCGAGAAGGCAGGGGCTAATTACTGTCTAGGATATAACAGGGCACAAAACACCTGGGAATCTAATTCCATTTCTCTACAACATGCAGCAGTGGGTGTCTAGAAGTTAAAACCCTCTTAGATTTCACAGTTCTTCTTACTGATAAATATTTTCCAACATATCTTACATAATCAGACATATTTTAAGAGCTTGTAAGTCCTAGTAATTTAAAATGATACAAGCAACTTGCAAGAGCAGCCTCAGCACCAGAGGGGCAAGAGAACTTGGCTATAAGAATGAAACATTGTGGGGATCCTCTGAACTGTTTTTGCTTTCTTTTTTCCCACTGTTCTATATTGCATATTAAAGGGGAACTTGCTCTATATTGTTTTTGTAAATAATTGTTTTTGCTTTATGTTTAAAAGAAAAGAAAAAAGGTACAGACATTCATTTTGGCTGTTTTATTACGATGTATAGCTAACGATGTGTCAGGGACTGTTAGTTGCTATCTGATGTACCACACATAAATAAACAGTGCAGCAGGCTCAAGACTCTCGCCCATTTTAGAAAACAGAGGAACACGACGGTAACCTGCAAAAGGAATCATATCTAATTAGGACAATAAAAATAAATCAGCAGTGTTCTCCATAGTGCTACTAAGACTCTTATCTTTACCAAGCATAAGTAAAAACCATGGCTGCATAGTTAAATTCTTCTTGTGTATTAATTTCCTACAAAAAATAAAATATCTGAAGTTTCTATTCTGACTTCTTACTGCCTAACACTGAGCCTACAGCTCACACTTCTCCTCCCTCAAAGTGCAGTGTGCTAAATTAGCCACCACCCTCCTGCTTCAGAAAGACTGTGTTTCCGAGGTACAGCTCAGATGGTGTCAGAGAAGTAAACACATTGAGACAAGGTAATTGGCATATTATAAATCACCTCAGCCAGGTGACTGCAACAAAAAGGCAGCCCTGAAAAGAGTCAAGAAAGGATTGTCTTGGGCTCCCAGGCTCTTCTTGGGCCGGAAGAATGAGTCACTGCTTCTCCCTTCTCTTTGATTCTCATGCTTTATTCTTCTGTGGTAGTCATGACTACTCTCAATTGAAACAAAAGAGCGATGATCCATGTAAAGAAATGCTCATACATGCCAAGTTTGTCTAATTTATCTTCCTAGCAATCCCAAACCATAACCCCACCTTCTATATGAGAACACATTTCTATAATACCAGTGAGAGAAAATATGTGTCAATGCTTAAAATTTCCTGTACATCTGATTGTCGTGGATAGAGCTATTTAGCATATTAATGTGTGTCTTTGGTAAATATAAGTTATAATTGTTAGCACAATCATCTTACTTTTAGGAATATTACCTTTGTTCATGCACAGAACTGGTAATGTATATTGACCAAGAAATTCATTTCCGGCTATTAAACCTTGATTTTCAACAACAAAACGCATCAGCGCCAATTCTGGCACATGAATAATAAATGTGAATGTTTCATTCCATTTTGGACTAAAAGCTGAAATATAAAGGGAGATATCATCAATGAATCATAAACACTATCTCTAGGGAATAAAGCATAGTACCTGTTCCCTGAAATTTTTCTTTTCAACACTTAGGAATATTAATAGTTTATGCTTTAGAGCTCTTGAATTTTTCACGTATCCAATGAGAAAGGATAATAATGACAGTAACAATAATTATTGGGTGTTTAGTATTGCTGGGCAATATGACAAGAACTTCAAGCAGTTAATCTCATTTCGTCCTTAGAACAAACCCATCAGGGTTATTGCTATCCACATTTACAGATGAGAAAACTGAGCCAGAAAGATGTTATGTAACGTCCTCAGGGTTTCACGTACACAGCCATTAAGGGGCAGGACAGGAATTCCAGCAAATGGAATCCAATTTCAGAGCAGAAACATTTAATCATTAGGCAATATGACTCTATATTTAGGCAGATTCCTAACAAAGGAATTAAATGATAGCATTTTTCTCTACCAGCTCCTATTATGGGAAGAATTCCATAGACAGTTGTTGGCCTGAGAGCTCAGTGCTCCAAAGCTAGCCTTTGATCCTTCTTCTTTTGAATAAGTGCTCATTTTAAAGTCCCAAGTTGATGAGTCATTTAGTTCTTAGCAAAAATAATCATCCCAAACAGCAATTTTGTCAAATAAGAAATCCAGATTGTGTCACAATATGACTGAAATCATCCAATACTTAATCCAATACTTAAGCATAATGTAATGGAATCAAGAAATTCACATCCAGATCAAATCTACTTAGGTTCAGAGAGAAATAATATGTATAATATGTATTGTTTTCATGTACAAAGGTAATGCTTGCTATGTCGATAGGTTTTGTTCTTTGGGTTACCTTTCCAGAGCATTAAAGAATTTGTGACTCATTATAGTTTATGTTTTCTGTGGTGTGTCAGTGGTCACAAGCACGCATTTACCAGATAGTAATCCAGGATGCAGTCTATGCCCATGAAGATATTAAACCAATTGACTTGATGCTGGTATAATAAATGTATTACCTGCCTTAAGAAAAGAAATAATTCCGTGGAGTACAGGGGCAGGTTTAAGAGTCAATTCTTTATGGACGCTTTAAAATGTCTGCACAAAATTTTTATACTGATTTATCTTCCTCTTCTAACTCTAATTCACTATAAACTCTCTTTCTCACATGCACACACACACACACACACACACACAGAGAAAATATGTATTATATGAGAAAGTCCTTTTAGTTATGAAAGAAAGAAATGAAGGTAAGGAAAGAAGGAAAGAGGGAAGGAAACCAGGATACCAAATTTGTTAGTTACAGTTTTTCTCTGGCATGACCAAAACTGAAGAATTACTTTAACACCTTATCCAAATGTGATCTTTTTCCTTCCAGACTCTCATTTCTCTTATTAGGCCACAATTACGATAGTAACTAAGCCATCTTAGAATCCCTCTTGATGGGGCACCCAGGTGGCTCAAAGGTTGAGCATCTGCCTTCAGCTCAGTCATCATTTCAGGGTCCTGGGATCGAGTTCTACATCTGGCTTCCTGCAGGGAGCCTGCATCTCCCTCTGCCTGTGTCTCTGCCTCTCTCTGTCTTTCATGAATAAACAAATAAAATCTTTTTTTAAAAAAAGAATCCCTGTTATCCAGCTATCTAGACTTTTATTCTTGCTAGTCTTCCTCACAAATGTCCCCCACTCCTTTTCTGTTGCCACGGGACTTCTTTGACGGGAATTCCCCATACCTCTAGCCATGAAATCATATCCTGACTCTACTTTGTATTTCCCATTTCCCTCACATACACGTCTTCCTACCAAATCTGCAGAAACAACCTCTCTAAAGCCCAAATATGCTAATGATATATTCCTGTTTAAGAGTTTTAATTTTATTCATTTTCTACAGAAAAGAAAGTACCTAACATCTTACCATGGCTGTCACAATTTTCCATGACCATCCCCAATGTAACGTTCTCCTTTTATCTCACACTGATCTTTCTTAAGTACCCTGTACGTCACCCATCTCAAACCTCTGTACTTTTTCCTAGCATGCTTGAATGTAGTCTTCTCCAGGTTTTAGAACTCATGTTATTCCTTTTGCCTTCAATGCCTTCATCCTCAATCTCAGTAAAAAATTCTATTCATTCTCCAGGAACCATCTCCAAATTTGCACCTTCCACTATAATTCTCTATACTTTCTTTAAAACACTGACTCTATCATAATAGTTTTATTGTATCTCATCACCCATAGCAAATTGAAAACTATCTACAATAGAGTTCATTGAGACATACATAATAATATATTTAATAAACAGAGATTTTAAGTTTTTTGATACTTATCACCAGGCTTCTAATAACAGGCTCAGTATTATTAGATAAACCAAATTTAATTTCAGCAGGGATACTTCCATAAAACCCACGGATATAATATAAATTCTAATGGGAGCTAGAATCATATAATAAGAGGTACACTGAATAAATAAATGTTCTGTGCATTTTGTCATGAAGATTCAAGTAAGGGGATGAAGAGAACAAGAGATAGGTTACTATAAGCTTCCCGACATAAGCAGTTACCATTTCATGACTTTGCCCTTGTAGTATGCCTTCTACTCTAAGGCATGGCAAATAAGGCAGTAAATCATCACCAATATCCCTTCCCATAGATAACCTAGGGTGAAATAGCCAAAATTCCCCACATTTTTTTCCATACCCTTTGCACTAGGGGGGAAATGGAGGAGTATTGGGGTATCAATGCAAGGGGCAGATGGTGGATATTATTGAAGATTATCACCCAAGAGAAAAAAAGACTACTAAAACTGCACCTGTTTTTCTGTTGGTGCCATTTAACCTGGCACATACTTCCAGACTCTGAAATGAATCCCACTATACTTTGGAATATCCACTTAGAGAAGACTCTAGACTCAAAAATCAGTTCCAAGGTTTTCTCCAAAGTGATCCTGACTACAGGTCAATCCTAGGAATCTATACTTTAATGTCCTTAATTATTTCAACCTCAGTGAAGATGTGATGATGTCAGTAGTGTATTTCATAAAATATCATGGTAT